AATTTATATTGGTTATTTGGAGTTACGACTTAAAACGTGTGACAATGAGAAATCGGTAATTGTATGAAATGTTTCCTTCCGCGTTGCTTCCCGCAGCCTCAAAAATACGGGTCCAAACAATTCTACGATTTTCAATCGATCGAAGCCAGTGTTTTGGAGGTTATCAAGTCTCGAAAACTGCAACACTTACGTCGCTCTTATAAACACGAACCATTCCAGGAAGTAAAACACAAACTGGATTTAATAGCACAACCATACCTTGACAAAATACATCCTCGCTAAGGACAAAAGTAACGGGCTATAAACACGCGTGGGAGTCTTATGTCTAGGTGACGAAATTACCATCCAAAGCAGTGCTTGAGTTTTCTTTCCTACTTTTCGTTTGCCTACTCCTCCACTTCGAATCTAGCTTTCTATTCCTAATATACAAGCAGCTCGTCCGCAAAAAATTCTTCCCCGTCGTCGCTTGAAATATTGCAAATTGTTCTCAAAGCTCTAAGCAGTGAGTTCACAGTTATCGAAAGTGCTCGAAGTTTATTTCGGTGTCTTCCGAATCGAAAACTAACTCTGACTCCAGTGACGAAAAAGAAATGATTCTGAAACAGAACTTGGACGTTTTAGTCCCAGAATATATTATAACGATTAGCTTTGTTTTCAATTTTCTCGAGCAAATACAGAGAGCTGACTGAGGTGCCATTGTGTTTGGTTCCTGGATAGACGTCATCAGCAACCGCTGCCCCAGACTCCCTGAAACGCGGTCGTGTAACACTTCAGGCGCGACTTTGAAAGGGCATAGAAAATCGAGGATTCAACCAAATTCAAAAATGTTTTCGTCAAAATGCTTCAAATAACAATTGGATTCGTTTGAGCGAAAAAACATTTTTGGGGTTAGGTGCACTTTAAAGAAAACGCATGTCTTATTCCGCGTCACGTGAAAACTAAATTTCCAGGGCCTAAAGGGAGTTAAAACTCATTCTTAGTTCCTAAATCTTTAACCAGGATCTTTTGATACTTCGGGAACGTNTTGAAAGGGCATAGAAAATCGAGGATTCAACCAAATTCAAAAATTTCTTCGCCCAAATGCTTCAAATAACAAGTGGATTCGTTTTAGCGAAAAAAAATTTTGGGGGTTAGGTGCACTTTAATATGGATAAAGCTGGGCCGGGTCTACTGGCTTCCTTCACGAGTTTTTTTTTTTTTTTGTCAATCCTTTTTTCTTGGCAGGATTATCTGGAAGAAAAGCTTTCCAAGCTGCTATCACCGAGTTTGAGTGGAATACCTGTATAAGATTTATAAGACACACCAATGAGGAAGATTACATTTGGGTGCATCGCGGATCGGGGTGAGCGAAAATTTGTGTACGAGGATTGATCCACACAAACTAACTTGAACTCAGATTCCTAGCTCTCCAGCTCCTACACGTAACTAAACAGTCATGAGCCTATCATATATGGATTGAAACAGATTTTCACTCAAATGGAAACGGATATCATATTTTCTATCTGTGCTTTCCAAAGGAACGTTACAGGACCTTACAGTTGTTTCGATGTTTCGAGTATTAATGCCCTGACATTTTTAATTCTGTTTGAGCTCAGAATTTCACATATGCATCTTACCCTTCGCGCGGTAACTAGGTCAATTGCAAATTAATTACTTTGGTTAATAACTATTAATGGTTAATGTTGGTTTTAAGCTGGCTCCACTTTGCATGGCTCACAACCAATCGGTGTGAAGATGTCTTTCGGTCATTTAGGAGGCACGACGCCACAATCAATTTATGATTTCGCTCATGAGAATTTTCACCCTGTTTTCCACAATTTTTGGATCGAGTTTTGATTGACTTATCTCACTGTTCGCAACAATAACGTCTCGTTTTCTGAGTACCTTGGTTTTATCTTTGCGCGACCTTGAGATTGGACACCCACCTTTAAAAAACTAAGAGCTGGGTTTCACTAGCGACGGAGTCGTAGTCGGAGTCGTAAATAGAAGGATAGAGTGATACGATCTAGAGAAAATCAAACTGACGGAGTCGGAAGCAGAACACCACATCCGCTGATGACTCCGTCGCTTACGATCTAGTGAAAACTAGATTGTCGGATTCGGAAGCAGAAGAGGAAGAATAAGCCAATCACAAAGTTCGTTTCCGGGCCTTGTGATTGGTTGGTTCTTCCGTTTCTGCTTCCGACTTCGACAATCTAGTTTTCACTGGACCATAAGCGACGGAGTCGTAAACGGAATCGGAAGAAATGGAAACGTTCTGATTCTTCTGACTCCGATTCCGTCGAGCTTATGACTCCACTTACGACTCTGATTTTTGATTTTCACAAGGTCGTAAGCGCTTTTATGACTCCGACAATGACTCCGACTCCGACTCCGTCGCTAGTGAAAACTAGCCTTTATAATTAGTATTTACTTTTTGGTAGATGTTTTTCAGCCACTGGAAAAACCGGTGGAAAACAGCTTCTATCTTTGGGCAAAGGTTGTCAAACAAAGGGTGTTGTTATTCACGAGCTTTTGCACGCTCTCGGTATGATGCACGAGCATTGCCGCCCGGACAGAAACCAGTTCATTAGGATCAACGCAAACAACATCAAGCCAAGTAAGCAAGGCTGTTTGTGTTATAGAATGATGCAAGGCAGGGTTGCAATTGACGTGTCATGTAAATTTTCGATCCTGATACCAATAGATCATTTCACAGTTGTCTGCTCAGTGACCCGGCCTTTGAGTGGCAGCGAGGCTGGAGGTTACCTTGTTTTAATACTGAGAGCTTACCGCTTTTGTTGTGTAAATCAAGTTATTCTAATGCTAACTACTGTAGTTCGCACTTAAATGAAAAAAGCAGAGAGATTTGTATCAAAACAATGTTACTTCCAACCTCGCTTGCAAATACAGGCCAGGTAACTGAGCATACAACTATAAAATGGCCAATTTTAAGAGATGCTTTAATTTTCTTTTCGCAAACTCTACTGAGACGTCTTTGATAAAATAAGCCATGTTTGCACAACGTTGACACTACGTTAGGTCTAGATTGGGTTCACGACAATGGTGGTGTAATGGACGTGTTTATCCATCTTCTCGTTTGGATCTGATTCACAAGTGTGGTGATCGTGAGAGACTTAGACCAAGAGAGAGAGGTATAAGTTGGGCTGTGGACGTTTAACAGAGAACTAGGATGGGGACGAGCTCAAACTTGTTTTCTTAGATGTTTACTTTTGTCCAACTCGCTGCGTTGTTGTTGTTGTTGTTCTTTTTCATTGTTTTAGAAGCGAGAGTTGAGTACCGCGTATTGAAAGGCTATGTCATCGGAGAACCCTACGACTATGGGTCCGTGATGCACTATGGGTTCAATTTCTTTAGTGTCGATTCCAAGAGACCAATTATTGTCAAGTTAATGCCAGGAGGGAAGCAGATGGGTCAGCGGGATGGATTCTCTGATCTGGATTTAAGGAAAATTAACAAGTTCTACAACTGCACAAAATATATCAGTGAGTGTAGTTTACTTGTTTTAGTGAGGAATTCCTTTGAAAATCTATACGCGTCACATATTGTACTTTATTATTTTTACAGAATCGATAAAGACGCCCAAAAAGGAGATAATCAAAATAGTTTCAGGTATGAGAAATGTAATGGTTATAAGTGCTGTGTATATGGAGCGCCGTAGCTGTTGCTGTGTTGTAATTAAACCGCGCACTCGGCCTTCTGCGGTTTCCCTCGTCTACGCATGCCTCGTTGACATTGTAGAATCCCGCGCTTGCTGGTGGCCTTTTGTCTTGTTCAGTATTGTGACATTAAACCTTGAGTTCGTCTTAACGTATTGGGGGAGAATATTTCTCCTTGCTGGAAAGGCAAAACATGGGCGACCCGGCCGTTATATCGTTGCATTCGCTCAACAGACAATTTCATCCTATGATCCATGTCTTTTTCAGTGCCAGGTTTGGTTTACATGTCCTTTTACTCTGAACATAGGAGACTGTAGTTTTGAAAGAGGACTTTGTAACTGGAAAAACTGGAAAAACGAAGAAGAAGATCAATTTGACTGGATGATAGGAAAAGCTGTTGCTAAGTCTCAATCGAAAACAACGCCTCAATACACGTCCAATCTGACTAATGGTGAGAACCCGAATGATGAATTACTTCTTATCAGTGTACAGACTGACTGACTAGCCAACCTACCACCTGGCTGGCTGGCTAACCGATTGACAGTCTAACTACTTGGATGCACACTAGAAGCTAAGTTAGTTTCAAGCAATTAGGCACCTGACTCAAGTGCAGTTGAAAATCTCAAGTTGCACTTTAGAAAACTTGAATTCACACCTGATGACAAAGTATATTACTTGAAGCATTTTTCCAATCAAATCAGTCATACATATCACAAATGCGATTGCTCGGTAGTAAAATCGTGAAGAAATCCATAGAGTTACGTTGTTGCCAAAGAGCAAAGGAACAAACGACATCCTCTGTACTTCTCTAGAATGGCTCAACAACCCAGTTTTCGGCAAAGAAATTGCTGTGGGGCCTTAGCTAACCTAAAAAATGCATTTCCGTGTGACTCGTCCAATGGTCAACAGAGTTTTTCGGGTGCAAAGAAATGTCCTGGTTGAAACTTGAAACAGCAGCTGGTTTGTAATTTGCAGAAGAGCATTTGTTGTCGGATGATATGAAAAGCGATGGTTTAGGCTGTCTAAGAAAATGAAATTCTAACAAGTTGTTTATTGGTCCGTTAATCAGGATTGTAGAAACATTGCACATCGCTTGCAATTGGCTTCCATTTCCTATTGGTCAAGTGCGTTCTCAAGTGTGCGTGTAGACCACACTTGGTGGCGCACTTCGGCTTCTTTGATCTACGAACTTTTCCATGGTCACTAAGTAAAGTCCAAGTGAGTACATTTTACCCCTTCACACTCAAAGTAGGTTCCAAGTGTACGTAGATTATACTTACAAGCTCTAGTGTGAAGCCAAGTACTAACCAACTAGCGGGCCTGACTAACTGACAGACTGACTGACTGGGTGACTGGCTGAGCGACTGACTGACTGACTGCACGACAGACTGACTGACTGACCGACTGACAGTCTACATCTGACTGGACTGACCTACAAGTTTCATTTACTCTCTGTCCACACTCCAAAATCAGTTTTCCATAGTTTAGTAGATTGCGTGATTCTAAGTCCTTGTTTTCCCTTTTGATGACTGCCATTTAAGGGAGGTTCCTCTTCTTCACAAAGCCATCAACAAGAGCTGAGTACATGAGCAGCGGTGTTCTTTACAGTGCAGGATACTTCAAAGGTTCAAGTTGCTTGAGATTCTACTATCACATGAGAACTGGCGGATACCTTAAAGTGTTTACAAAGGAAGCTGCATCTAAGGAAAAAAACCCTTACGTGTTGATCTGGGAACGAGAAGGTCCTCAAGGAAATAAGTGGAACGTGATGGAAAAATCTCTTTTAGGTGCCATTATTAAGGTTTGTTGGGCTGCTGTGTGTGTTTTTCGTTGTTTCCATCTTTGCCGTTGGTGGTTTAGTTGCAAACGTTAGGTTTTAGAATTTCTGTTCTTTTTCGTCCTTTGGATGCATCTTTGTACAAAGTAGACGATGCCAGATTTACATACATGTCGTCTGTGAATTTCATAGAGCCAGATTATGTGGATTTCAGGCCTGTGTTGGACTATAGCCCACTGTTGACAATCCCTGTCCTTATGGTGCTCTGAGCACGCTGAACAAGGTTGTCTCATTTCTAACTCCCTCTCCCTGCGTTTGTACGTTGTTGCAGATTTACATAGAGGGAATCAAAAGTCCGACTTTAACTGGATTTGTTGCAATAGATGACATACGTGTCTCGCAAGGGAAGGCTTGTCTTGGTATGCATAAAGAAGTAACACGCCACTGACAATTCAATTATATGACAAAGATTACCTTTCAACCTATCAAAGAATATCTTTGAACATGATGCATGATGTTCTTCACAGGCATTAGAGTTTATAACAACGTGGAATACATCGTGATGAATCTCTTTTTCTTGCTAGGATGATTACGGTTATCATCTACCAGACAACACGACATTTAAAGAATGATGTTTAAACCTCAGTGACTTTGAGTTACACAACGGCCGTAACTGGAGTTTCTGTGTGACTCTCAAGCTACGAAATACTCCGATATCCAGCGAATTACAGCACATGGAGGACGTTTTCCTTTTATACCGTTAATTTACGCTGTTACTAAACGGCAAAACCAAACGAAAAAGATCAATAGCTATAGACAACAATATGCTCAGTACAAGCATGAAAAGTTCAGGTTCCGAACCGATAGGGAATGTTTTCGTAATGTTTTCGTCATAGCGTATTAGTAAAAAGATATTTTCAAGAGATAATTTTAATAACACTGAGAGGAAGGTGCTAAGCGTTTTTGGGATGAAATTTCCAAATCTCAGGGAGTTACAGAAATTCTGCTTCAAAACTCAGCAAACAATAAACATTAAACAAGTTAACGAAAGATCAACAGACAAACAGCGAACAAACGAGAGCAACATTTTTTCTAGACAATATGTATATTTATCAGTTAATTCGGTACATGAATTATAGTTCTGTAATAATCAGTAAAATGGCATTAGATCTAAGTTACGTTTTGTCACCTCTCAGTTTAGTTTAGTATTGTCAGCTTTCTTTTTGTGTAAGTGAAGTCTCGCGTATAACACAGCAATTATTCTCGCCGTCCGTAGTCATATATCCATTTCTATTTCTTTTTTATCTTTCTTAAAATTCAAACCACTGCACAATTTGTCTGCGTCCAAAAGCCAGTGGAAGACGCTTTCAAGCTTGCCAAACGAACAACAATTTTTCAACTTTAAAAGTTATATGAACCAGTGATGTCTTTTTTGATCAGTCAGGCAGGTTGCTAAGTGACTGATGGCATTGTCATGCTGAGGTGAAGAGCTTGTTCTATTTTCTGGTTAAAGCTGGTGACTCTAATTGAAAATAGTTCTGTCACAACGAGGAAACGCCAAAAACTGGACTCGTCTCTTTGGTCTAAAAAGCTCAAAGCTTTCCAACATTTATTTGCTCCTTTAAAGTGATCTCGGCTTTTTGGCGGTGCTGGTTCTGTTGATTCTAAAAAGTAGCAACACAACGTTAACCATAAAAAAAGTTCGCATTTAAACTATCAGTACTGAGATCATGAGCAATTTTCTGTCGTTCGGAATTACTCCTTTTCCTAGCTTTGAAAAAGCGTCAACTTAAATATTATATATTGTACATCTTTCATCGTGTAAAGGGTTCACAACAAAAACATTAACAGTAACTTGGTCATCTAGGCTGCTTATAGAGTTTCCGGAATAACAAATGTAAACATGTAGTGCCTGAAAACGAACCCAGAGCGAAAACAAGGAAACTGGTATCAGAAGAGGGAAGACGAGTGTAGTTACTCTAATGACTCTGAGTAGCCTCATGAGCGATGTTCTTGTTCAAGATCTTATACACCGTGTTGACAAATGCTCGTCCCAGAGGTTTTTAACCTAGTTAACATTGCTTGGCCTAGAAAATGTTAAGACATCTCAATTAAATTTTACAACAATTTTGGAAGTCAATTAAAATAAGTTCTGAACTGACTTTCCAAAGCTCTATGAAACAGACTTTTAACCTAGTTCCATCCTAGTTGCAATTTCAATACAAATTAGACACATTTTTGCATCCTCAAGCCCCACCATACCATTGGATGGGAGGCAATTGGCTGCACGCCTAATTACAAAAGATATACACTACAAAAATACGAAAGCACAGTAACTGATGGCGCTACAAATCCTTGTCCATGTTAAAAATTAAGAACAAGGAAACGTTCAAAAATACAAAATACAGATGACCTTGTTATGTTCTCCATACTGAGCAACGTCAGTACAGCCTAGAAAGCATTTGCTGGTGAAATCTACTGATACTTAAACGTAAAATGGTTGGCTGAGCTGATTACATGTATTTTACACTGAGTATCCCAGTTTATCCTGCCCTAAAACTGACTGTTCATTCTTTTCAAGGAGGTTTGCTTTCTCTTCCTAGTTAGACCTTGCTTTACACCTTCGCCTGTGACCGTACCATTGCACATGATGTCCTCACTGGGTAAAGTTTTGATTTCACAGGGATACCACGCAATATGCATGTGTATGTACCCTGTGCTGATTTGAAATAAGTAATAATGAATGGCTTATGAAGCCATAAATGCCAAAAAACGTGGCCACAACCTATTACATTAAGCAAAAAGCAATCTATGTGATTTTTAAATCTACTTATCTCGATATTTGATATCAAATTTGACTTATAAACCCTAGTCTTTATGCTAAGCTGGTTTAGCCCTAGAGAGCCTACAATTTTGTTTCATTATCACGCTTTCTGCATGATAGTTAGTGTCTCTGACTTCGTTATTTACATATTTCATGTTCTTTACATGCAACTGTCATGACTCTAAGCGTTATGATCTTGACTGCATGTCTCTATTAAACAAACACAACTTTTCCTTTCTTCTTTTTTAACTCCAGCTCCCCAAGAAGGCCAGTATAGGCTATTTTAGAGCAAATTTAGCTGTTGAACATGAACTGGTCTTAAAAGAATGAATATCAAAATATATCCCATGGTCCGAAGGCAAGTGCAAATGCCTAACCGACTGAAAATAAATTTGAAGTAAATTTGTAGGAGATAACGACCTGTGTTGTTCTGACTGATCAGAGAATTGGAGTTTGTTTTTTATATGAGGGAACGAATATTTGTATTCCAAATCCAACGTGTCACGTTCAATTAACTTGTCCAAAATAGCGATAACTGGACCCACACTATGCAGGAACAAAACGCCAATACTAATTCATCTGTCCATTTTCATGGCTCCCTTCATCCACTGAGTGAACTCGTTGACATTGGTGTAAACTCCATACTTATGTGGCAAGGCACATCCTTCGCCCCAGCTCACGATGCCTGCAAGCATCCACCTGCCGTCCCCATCCAGCACTGGACAGGCCAGTGGCCCCCCGCTATCGTAAGAGCATGCATCGATGCCGCCTTCTTCAAATCCAGCACACAGGAAGTTATTTCCTATCGTCCCGTTGTATGAGCTAGGAAAAAAATGAACAAATGGGCAATAAGAAATTTTGAATGCAATGTCAGCAAGAGCAGACGGAGAAGAGCTTTTTGTAAAGAATGCTCACTTCTCAGAATTGCAGGCTTCTTTTCCCGCCAGATCGACCCAGGCCTCTCTCAACACAGGAGAGGTGCTTCCGTTCCATGACGTGTGCCCCCAGCCGGTGACGATACAGCGTTTACCAGGTTTGAAGAAGATGAAGCTGTCTGGCAGACAGATCTGATTGACGTGGCGTCCATACTTCACTGAGCTGGACAGGCGCACTAGAGCTGAGTAACATCACATGGAAGACAAAAAAAAAGGCTGGATGTCAATAGACAGCAGTTATTTTCTTATTGTGAGAGAGCAACTGCATCCTACATGCATTTAGCACAAATTTAATTTAGCTAATTTGAGACCCTTTTAACTTAGACAACGTTGAAACTTTAGTGGTTAAACTTTGTTCATTTACATTTTATGACGATTTTGTACCAAATTCTTTACATTTACTGTATCCTTATATCAATTTCAGGGCTGTTCTTACGGTTTTGAAAAGTTTTTGAAATCCAAGATGGCGGGCATTGTGAACTGTGTGACGCCATTTTGACGTAATTTGACGTCATGATTGACAGGTGATAACCAGTAAAGAAAACGAGTTTGGATGCTTTAAACACCACATAAGTTTCATCGCTACTGAGTTAATACTTTCGAAGATCATAAAAGGAGGGCGGCGTGGGGGTACAAAGAGCTCATGGTAAATAATAGGGTGACGTCGCCATACCTATGTCATTGTTCCCGGGATGAGAGGAGTTACTTGGCTTGTAGCCAGGATGAATCAATATCTGCCGCACTCCTTGCATAATTTCTCTCCCTTCATCTCTCAATAATGAATGCTCTCCAATTCGAACCTTCCAGTCGGACGGGTTCTTTGACGTACGTTCGCCTGAAACGCAAACGGTTTTATTTAGAAATTATGTATACGCAATCCACCGTAGGGAAAAAGATGGCGGCTGTACATTTTACCACTATGCCTCGCGAACCTAACACAGCCCAAAAGGCACAAAGAAAGCCTTATAATTATAATATTTGTCCCTGTACTAAGGACATCGAGTGGCCAGGATTTGAAGATTTTATAACGTTTCTTTTACGTTTACGTTGTTTAGGTTTTCGTGCGCTAAGAACTATGGGTAAATGTACCAGTCGCCATCTTTTTTCCTACGGAGGATTACTATTATTTTTTCATAAGATAATGAACAGTTACACTTTAGACTCTAGTTTTTTTTACGAGCATACAAGTTTGTCGTGAAAAAATACAATATATCTAGATCTGTTTAGACTTTGGGTACTCAGCTCGGGCAAAATTCACAATTATGTTTTACATGAAAATGGATTTCTTATCCCGCATGACTAAATTTGCTATTACAGGTCCTGCAGTTCGTAATAAGCTGAAAAGATGTCGTGCGAAAAGGGCCTAAAGAAAGTTTTTGCTTTGATTTTGATACTTTGCTCGAGAGTTTGCATTTACGAGCATTTTCCCTCTTCCAGCAAACGTTGTTGGCCTTTGTTGTTCAAACACAGGGTAGTTTTACAACTTACTGAAGCAGTGTGCCGTGGTAACGATCCAGGACGGTTTAATGATGGTTCCTCCACAGGCGAGCTTTGTGCCGTTGAAGAATAGAGCAACCATCCAAGGCCAGGAATTAGGAACACTCTCGCGGCCCCCCACAATCCTTCGCAAGCGCCTTAGGTTTTCATATAACAGGGTGCGCCTTCCGCAATCACCTGAAACTAAACAGAATCACAGCGCTTCTGTGATTATCTCGTGAAACAAGACTTGATTAAGGTTTTTCACACTAAGGGAAGGCAGACAAGGTACTATAATTGAATTCCCCTTTTCTTGTTTCCCTTGAATCTTAACTAGCATATGAAGGTCCAAATCGACATACAAGAAACCCCCGTGATATTTTCATTTGCTCACGATGTAAAGGTCGAGAGAATCGTCCTTGCTACAAACGGTATTTTACAGCGGCATAAGGGGTATGCTAGCCAGACTGGGAAAATATTTCAATGTATAACAGCATATTTTCAACCAAAAAAGAGAAATTATAGATGACTTTGATGCCGTTAACTTAGACTTAATGTGACAGTAACATATATCCCGTGTTGAGTAAACCCAAACCAATCTACTTACCTGCCGCAGATCTGCAGTTTGGTCTCCCTCCCTTGGTTCGTGTTCCTGGGATCTGTTTTCCTTCCCTATCCACACACCAGCAGAACCCAGTCTTTCCCGGTCTCTTGTGGCACTGAGTGCTTTTAAAGTGACCGTTGTCTTTGCACTTGGGAACGTATACTCCTTCACGGGTCTTTTTCCTTTTAAGTCTACGTTCACGCATTCGCTGGCACTTGGATTTTCCTCTATGAAAGGGGATTTCGTCTGGGAAAAATACAATCAAATCAGGTTAAACAGAAAAACCTTTCTGACGACCTTCAAAGTTTCCATTGACATTAAGCAAATATAAACATGCCTTTTGACTTTGTTTGTGCGTTTGGTGACTTTAACACATTTTGGCTAGAGAAGAGCTCGTGTAACGGATTTTGACCAATCACAGGGTAGGTGTTACTTTCACATTCAAACAGATGTTTAACTAAGAGCCAGTCCGCCGAAGAGTTTCCAGCATCTGCCACCAGGTACATATTTCGTCTTAATTAGAGACATTAGAGTCAGAGCTTTCCAAAAGGTCTAGATAGCAACAGACATGTAAAGATTTTAAGGAAAATGACCAATTTTTTAAGTTTAAAAGACATGTTTCGACAGAACGTCTGTCATCTTCAGTTGAATGAATGATTACAAAGCAAGTTGAATAATAAGTAGGCAAAAATGCTAATTAAGACAAATAGTAACAACAGAACGTGAAA